AAGCAGTTCCAGGCACACCAGAGCATGAAACTTGTCAGTGTCACGAACAACTCACACAAGTAGCAGCGGGGCAATTCCAAGCTGCGCTTCCAATTATACTAGGGGTTTAGTCCGACGCCACTTTCCGGAAAATGCCAGGTAAGGAGGGGAAAAAAAAGAACAGAATAAGAATGACCAAGGAAAGTGACAATTAGCAATCACAGTCTCGAAGAGGCCGGGATTCCCTTCGGATCAACAATGCGGGTGTGCCTGCACAGCAACGATTGCAGCGGATTCGAGAAAGCGGCTCATCAGTTCCCTTCTCCAGGACGGAAATGAGAGAAATTTAACCAATTTGCACATCGCAATTACCCTCATTTTCGCCACAACAGCAAATAACTGCGTTTAGAATTAATGTAGGATTTGATTTCACGGCAGCAGTGGTATAACAATCTACATTCGCTTTCAGTGAAAAGGGTGAACAACCCAACTTGCCTGGAACATGAAGCAGCAGAGCAGCCTGCCTGTGCCCGCTATCATGCCAACATGTTTCTCTACTGCAAAACATGACTGAGGACTTCTGGGATAGTAGGAACTCCCGATGCTGGAGTCTGAGATAACAAGGTGTAGAGCTGGATGAACAGGAATGCCAGGATGCATCAGAGGAGCAGGAAAGCTGACGTTTCGGGTCTGGACGCTTCTTCAGAAATCACGCTAACTGAGGACTTCTGGTTTTGCTTCACACACTTTGACACATGGCAGACAGTTTCGGAATTAAGCCTTTCAGAGGCTAATTTGAGATGCATTTGAAAGAGAGGGTAAATCAGGAATCCGTGGTGCACTGTGACACCAGCAAATCAGGTTTCTACTTGGCATTGAACCAGGACGCCTTCGCACGTAAAGCAAATGCGAAACTATTATTCTGCAGAAAGTGCCAGAGCACGCTAAGTGCACTCTTAAAAATGAAGACCATTTGTGCAGTACAAATCAGCGCGTATTCAGAACCAGGCTGGGGAGAAATCTAACAAAACTTAGAACTACAGTTAATTGGAATTGCATTACTTTTCGCCACAACAGCAGAGCTGGCTGAATAAATAGAAATTAAGGGTGGCTGATGAGGACAGCAAGCAGGAAAGCTCCGTCTACGTCACTGCAAAAGCCTATCGTTGGTAAGAAAGGTGCAACCCTGCTGTTTCTGACCAGTTTCAGCCGGACATCTTTCGCGTGTGAGGCGAACGTGATAACCACTCCATTACAGAAACACAACTCGCTGCCGTTCTGCCCGCTGACCTTTGTACAGCATTGAAATTTGCAGCCATTCACGTTTTACTTTTTGATTTCAAATAGATTAATATTGCGCAGCCTTATTGGTATTATTGATAAATAAACAAAATAAAGCCCTTTCTTCAGAGTTTGAACATGTGTTTAACCATGCAGCATTCCAAAGGTTTACAACATGCACAAGAATGGAAAGAGTGGAAAAAGATAATGGGCACTGGGCACATTCGTATAACTAACATTTGGTGAAACCGGAAGATCAGCACCGTCTGTTATTTATAATGCCATCTGTAAGCTTATCACTTTCTGTTTTACATTCCCACTCATTGCTTTCCAGTTAAAGCTTGGATTCACCATCAGTCTCTAGTTACACCAAGCAGCTAATTAATCTGATAACTCGACAGGCAGAGGGATGTCGAGTTAAATTCGGGACAGAAGTAGGCAGCGAATCAGAGAGTGCGTAAATTGATATCAAGTGTGACAATGAGAAAAACAAGTCATTAGAATGGATAAGCTTGATGCATTGAATAAGATGCAGGAGCCAATATAGATCATATGGTCCATTCTATCTGCTTCCACATTCCACGAGGTCGGAAATAATCTGATAATCCATAAAGTCCACTGCCATGCCTTATCCACTTAATCCTTGACATCCTTAATAATTAAAAATGTCCATTTGAGCTTTGATTATACTTATCGATCCAGCCTGACAGCCCTATGTAGTAAAGAATTCCACAGGTTCGTAGCCCCTGAGAGAAAATAAATTCTCCTAGTCCCTGTCCTCCT